ACTTACTTCTGCACATAGGCATTACAATTGGTATATGCCATCACTTTGTATGGTAACACAAGAAATGAGGGGGAAAGTTGCGAAAAGAGCAAAAAAAGAAATAGGACTAGGGTTGTAAATAAATTCTTCACATGGGACTCTTGTACTTTATACCTAAAACTTGCCGCTTGCAACTTGTGTATACAATTTTGTTGTTAAATGGCAAATGCCTATCCAAAAACATAAGTTGTAATTAGACTAATTAAGTTTGCATAAAAAATCATACTTACACCATGTGACGATCTAGATGTATAAATCCACAAACCAATAACCTGTTAGTTAAATTTCAATAATTTTAAGAGTAAATCTTTCCTACATTGATGGTGTATACACTATCATTGTTAGATTCATGATATGTCTGCAAATGTTGAATTTTAAATTTATATTTTGCATAGTTGTCATTCATCCAATACTGATAGTGTATATACTGTCAGTGTAGGAAAGATTAATCTTAATTTTAATACTTCAAAAGCTCCCTGTAAATAATTTGCAATGAAAAGTGAGGGAAAATATTATTGTTGGCTAGTGTTGAAAGGAGAAACTAAGGGTGTGTTTGATAAAACTGAAGTCTGAAAATTGAAATCTGAAATCTGAATTCTAAATCCATTAAGTTATTAAATTGTTAAGTATTAATCAAATACATTTAAGTGTACATCCTGTTCAGTGACAAGTGAATAGTTTATCACATATTTTTTAGAGCAAATTTTGCCTAGGAAATTCAGTGCCATTTAATTAATTCAGATGTTTAATTTTTGGTGATCAAACACGTTTGAACATATTAAGATATGAATCCATTAAATTTAAGTATTGAACTGGGTTATGAAACACGGCCTAAGATGATCACCCTCCAAAAAAAAAAAGAAGAAAAACTAAGAGGAGCAAAAATATAAGTTGGTAGATTTGATACTGGGGAAGACAAAAGAAATCCCATGAAACCATAGACAAAAAGTAAAGGAAAAAAATTCCCATGGAAATTTAGTGTTTCATTTTACTACAACTAATTTTACTACTACTAATAAAAAATCCCCAAGAGTAGAAAACCAAAAATTTTCTTTCAAAGGGAAAAATTATTTTTTTCCCCTTAAAAAACCAACAAGACTCGATCTTTTTCCCCTCAGGCAAGGCTTCACTCCTTGGATGTTTGTTAAGATTGCTGCTAGGATTTAGGCGATAATCCCATAGAACCACACTTTGAAACTAAATATGTCACAAAAACTAATGGATACTAATCACATAGGACCAAGTACTTTGAAACTAACTATGATACCAAAACCAGTAAATATCTATTTAGGTTAATACCCATTTTCGATTCGAAAAAAAGAAAAAAAAATTAATGCCCATTTTAGCCTAAGATATATACAACTTTGTATCTTTCCCTCAATTATACATTTCCTCCCTGTGAGTACGTATATACTATTAGTGTTACTTAGTATTTGTTTTATCTGCTTTATAGGACAGGTAAAACAAATACAACCAAGATTAATTAAAGAATGATTGGCTCAAGAAAAATATATGTATGAAAAAAAGTTAGTGCTAGTGTTACATTATTTTCTTTATTGCTTAACAAAGTTTTTAGGATTCATAAGAATTGGAAACATCACAATAAATCAAGATCAAGGGGATCAAAGACAACCATGGAGTCCGGAGGAGGCAACTACCAAAAGGGCCAGCAATATTCAATCCAACACCAGAATCCTTACCATCATCAGCACCATGAACAACATTTTGTTCATCATCTTGTCAAATCCATGGTCTTATCTGCTGCACTTGCTCTTGCGTTCATTGTTCTTTATCACTCGGCAGATCGTTTTGAATTGCTCCCCACTTCAATGTACAATAAATTTCTGGCGTCCGACGGATTCTCTTCTTCGGTAAGTCAGTTACAAATCTGTGATCGATTCCTTCTGCCAAATGCATGCAGTTTCTTGATTTATAGGATTGTTTTGGCTTTGATTATGATGCTTATATATATCCTGTTTCGGTTATAAAACAAGTGATGGTAATATCCACATCCCAACTCAGTTGCATGCGGTTTTTTTTTTTTTCAACATCAAAATTTGTTGGTTTTGGTTGTATTTTACAGTGCGAAACATTTTATTCTTTTTTCCCAAACAAGAGGATTTTTTTTGGCCTCATTTGTTGGGATTATACTTCATTTTTCTGTCCAGTTTCACACAACCATCTTCTCTTCCATTCCTGTTTCACCCAAGAAGCGTGATAGTATGTGGAATTAGCAAGGTTAAGCACAAGAGAACTGCAAAATGAGAATTGCCTAATAACTACAGAGATTTTAGTGTCTAGATCTTTTTTCTTTTTTTACAGTTTAAAATGCTTGTTTTGGTTATTAGTGGCCACTATTTTAGGCCTTTTTTTTTCCCTAATTTTTTGGTTGGGGTAGAGTGGGAAGATGGGTTTGGAGTGGGAGGTAGTGAGATGCGCCTTCTTTTCCGATGACAAGATTTGTTTTATCTCCAAAATATCAAGATTATTATTTATTTTCTTAGACCTCTTCAGAATTTCATATCAACTAGGAGACTTAGTAAATTTGTTTTTCTCTTAACTAGCATAATTAAGCACCACTAATTACCCTTCCCTTAGGATTACCTCTTTCTTTGTCTTGTAAATATCTGGCTGTGAACCTAATTAGGCACAAACCTAGGATCAACCTTTTGATGTACCATCCTTAATTTATAAGAATCTCAACCCATTAATGCTCCTAAAATTGCCATCAAGCTGTTAAGTTTACCATTTGCTGCGTATGCTGTGGGGCAATTGGCACATTAAAGACCAAGACAATTTGGGTGTTGGGCAATTGCCAAATTCTCTCTTACTAAAGTCCCATTAAAAAAATTCCTACTTTGTATTCCAAATGTGCATATGATATTTTTACAAGGTGAAATTTTTTCCCTCAATATTCAAACTTATTTCAATCAATAATTCAGATAATCTATGTATGTAATTTCTCAATCCATATCCCCACAAATAAATTAATTATCTTTTCTACACCAAAGTGCGGATTAAGGGGGTTTAATACTTCTATTAGGAAGTAGATAATGCTTAATAGGATTCCACATTGTGCCAGCCAGGCTTCTTTGTCCTTTTTCAAGTTTTAGATTAGTTTGGCAACATTTAGTTCAGAAACTATTCCACAAACTGCATTGTTCTTATTCTGTTTTTTCCTTGTGGTCCTAACCAGTTTGGTAAATTAACAAGAAAATAGCAAAAAGCAATTTCCTTTAGGCTTGATTTCATAAGGCAGAAATTTTTATGTCAGTTATAATCAAAACGTTGAACCCCACTTCGCATTTAATGGCGTTTTATTCCTTCTTCTAACAGCTCCTTAATTAGGAACATTAAACGTCATTATTGGTTTATCACGTTGCTAACAATATAAAAGAGAATAGTTGGCTAAAATAATTTAATTTATATTTTTCATTTGCCTCATAAAAAGTTGTTGATGTTTCATTTCCATGGCTATCATCTAGTACCGAATTTCTCGTCTTCTTACGAAGATCTCATCTGTCCGTAGTAATATGAGTTGATATGTATTTTGTAATGCATTTTCTGGAATATTACTAAGTGATTAATTTAAAAAAAAAAGTGTTTAACATACAGAAGGATGGAATATGCCCAACCCGAGGTAGCTCGTGTGGTGTGTTGCTCCTCTTTAGGATATGGCCACCAAAGATCGAGTCTCGGGGTTAACGTGTTCGAGAGGAATGAGCCTCTCCTCTCGGGTCGCAGGGGATTAGTCAGGTCGAAGGCTCGGATACTCCTGTGTCCAAAAAAAAAAAAAAGGAATACAGGATGGAATATGACAGTTCAAAATTAACCTCAATAATTAAATCAGTTTGGCATCTTTAGATAGTTGATCCTCAAAATTTTTGGATGATTTCTTTGGACTTTATGAGAAGGCTCCTATTAAAAGAAGATAATAAAAATGAATAATTTTTTTTTTTTTTTGTTTTGGTAATGAATATCTTATATACATGCATAAGCAAGATAATACCAAAAAAAATTATGAACATGTTTTCCTTTTGTTCTGGTGAAATTAGATGGCTTCAAAATTCTCAATAGGACTACATGGTCCTTCTAATGTTTCTCTTATTAATTTCTCATAATTCAACCAAAAAATTTGATAGGGTCTTTTTGTTGCAATTCATCACAAAATTTAACTTTAGCTTTTGACCCTAGTTCTTACATTTTATTCAAATATTACCCTCATAAACTTCCTGACACCTTTCTTTAAGGCAATGTGTTTACTGGTACAAAATTCACCACAAGTTGTAGGCCTCTTCTTCAGATAAATAGCATTCAATAGGCATTTATCAAGGTTCTAGGGAAAATAAATTAATAAATAAAGATAGTGAAATATGTTTTTCTTGGCATAATCTCTTAATTTTGTTTCCCTGATTAAGTATAATTTTGAAATTGTAAAACTGTAAATGAATGAGAATGGCTTCAGAGCACACATATAGACAGATTTCTTCCCCCAACCCCCCCCCCCCCCCCCCAACAAAACAAGAAGTTGGGGAACATTTACTTGTAAAACTGGCCAACTGGAAACCATTAGGCAAATTCTTTTTTTTTTTTAATTGAAAATGGATTTCTTGAACAAAAGAGAGCATAATGACTGGTTATTGGAAGCAACAATCCTCCTTTTTTTCCCATTTTTTTCTTTGAAGTTATAGTAGCAACGGTAGTGTAAAGTTTAGACTTTAGTTATATGTAAAAACATTAAAAAAAGAAAAAGAAAACACATTTACAATTGAAATAGGGTTAAATGCAAAATGCACCCCTGAACTATGCATGGTTAGCAACTTGCCTCCCAAACTATCAATTGTAGGGATTTGCACCTTATACTACCAATTTGATTGCAGATTGCTTAAAATAGGATGATGTGATAAATTTATCCTAATTAAATGACCAATTACCTAAATTACCTACATCACTCCTCCTCTCCCCTCTAAACTACCTGGTAACGGTCCTCCTTCTCCTCCTCCAAGCTACACCACCAAGTTCTTACCCATCCCACCCCTCACATCAAACTCCTTAATATGGATCACTCTTCATCTTTCCTACTCAAATCTACCTCTTCAATCCCTTAACTTCACAAGCCTATCATCGCCTCCCTCTCTTGAGTGCCTTCTCTTTGAATCTTCATCGTTTCTAAAGTTTCAAAATCACAATCCCCTTTAAATTTATCAACCTTCATTGCTACTAGCCAAACTCCCAATACTTTTTGATTCAAGAGACCCAAATCCTATCATTTCCTATCCTTCTAATTTTTTTAGTGGTCTATGTTATTGGGTGTTATTAATTCTGCTTGCCGCATATTGAAGTTTGATTTAGTATGTGATTGGTTCTACATATGATAAGCTTGTGTTATGGGTGTTGCTATTTGAAGATTTGGTGTGGATTTATGAGGTGTATCTTCAATTTTTTTGCATAGGTTATAGATGGATTTTTAGCCTTTATATAAAGCTTTGATTTTGATCTAGTTTTGATTTTTTTTCTTCTATTGTGATGGTTCAATGGTAGGTATTTTAATGTAATGTCAATGGCAAGAGATGTAAGATTGTTTATGGTTGAAATTTAAAAAAAATAAAATAAAATAAATTAAAGAAATGGGTATTTTAAGCAACACATTATTTGTGGGATTGTCGTTGCCCTTTCAATAAAGAATTACTTGTCACATTAATTTAATTGGAGCACTATGCTGAAAATTCATAGTATAAGATAGCAAATTACTCCAATAGACAGTATAGGGGGCAAGTTGCTAACTAAGCATAGTTCGAGGGTGTATTTTGCATTTAGCCCTTAGAAATAAGAAGTACCATATATTTCTTACTAATTCTCTAAAGGCAGCCTTGGGCTTAATTTCTTTGGTCTAATTTTTTTCTTGTTTGCATGCTAATCAGGAACTTTATGAGTTGAATAGAGTCTTACAAAAGGCAGCCACAACGAACAGAACTGTTATTATGACAACTCTGAATGAAGCATGGGCAGCAAAAGATTCAATATTTGATCTTTTCATTGAAAGCTTCAAAATTGGGAATAAAACAGAAGGGCTATTGAAGCACTTGTTAGTGATTGCATTGGATCAAAAAGCATATGCTCGATGCTTAAAATCAAAGCTTCATTGCTATAGCCTCAGAACTGATGGCATTGATTTTTCTGGGGAGGCATATTTTATGAGTGCAGACTACTTGAAGATGATGTGGAGGAGGGTTCAGTTTCTTACAAAAGTTCTTGATATGGGATATAACTTCCTTTTTTCGGTAATTCTTCTGTCTTCCATTGTCTTTTTTCCATGCGAGAACTTTCTAAGCCAACATAATTTTAGCCTTAGAAAAAAAGAAGAATGTACCTTATACTTGTCTTGGATTTGGACCAAAAACTGTTTAATGTGAAACAATTAATTACAAGCTTAATGGTGAAATAGCTATATGCCTAAAAAGTACTCCCATTTTGGTATAGTAATTGTTGTTAGACAAATGGAACAAGGAAATCTATGATTGGCCGTCCAATTGAGAGATTACAAGTATTAATTACTCTTACAGCTTCAATAGTTGACATTGCCAGTTCTTTTTCCAACTTTAATCCTGACAAGATCTATGAGTACATTAAAAGAATTAAAAAAGAATTTTCTAACTTATCATAGGAAGCAAAGTGACCCAATGACTTCTTATTTTGGCTATAACAGCTACGGTTAACATCATTTACTGAAGAATTATAAGCAAAATAAACTAATTATGTGAATATATAACACGAAATGAAGTGCAGAATTAAGGAATCAAATTGATTTTGTTAAATAATGTTACTTTTTCTTTCATTTTACAAAAGGAGTAACATAGGCATGTTCTTTTCTATTTTACTGTCAGGTTTCACTCAAGTGACCTTTTTGTTTTATGTAAATACTTATAGACCGGAATATTGTATGTATGTGTATGCGTGAATATACACATACATACATACGTGTATATATATATATGTATGTGTGTATGTATGTCTATACTCGTTCAGAAACATAAACATTGTTCCTATAACATTTTCATTTCAGGATGCAGATATAATGTGGTTTCGAGATCCATTTCCACATTTCTATCCAGATGCTGATTTCCAGATTGCTTGTGATTATTTTCGGGGCAACCCTTCGGACATAGACAATGCACCTAATGGAGGTTTCACCTACGTGAAATCAAACAACAAAACAAGACAATTCTACAGGTTTTGGCACGACTCAAGAATCCTTTATCCAAAATATCACGATCAAGATGTCCTCAACAAGATTAAACGTGATCCCTGCATCCAGCAGATGGGACTAAAAATCAAGTTCTTTGATACAGCTTATATTGGAGGATTTTGTGAACCTAGTAGAGACTTGAACAAGGTATGCACCATGCATGCAAATTGCTGTGCTGGTTTAGAGAATAAAGTCCATGACCTTAAAATCATGCTTGAGGATTGGAGAAAGTATATGAAACTACCTGAAAGCAATAGATCGGACCATTCTTGGACAGTTCCACAGCTTTGCGGGTATGCATTATCTAATTACAGCGGAATTAGATTGATAAGTTTGAAAAGTGGTGTTGCTAATTTTTTTTTTCATTTTTTGTTATCATTTGCAGCCTTGCATCTTTTGGCCGTCATAAATCAACCAACAAAACCTCAGAAGGAACATGATGAAAATTCATATTGTGTTTCGGACTGATGAGGAATTGATATGAAAAGGTAAACATTTTCATCTACTTTTTTGTGGATTAGTTTGATGACTTTCAAAGTGTTGAAATGTTGTATATTCTTCGTTTATCTTAACATCTCCCATGAGTTTATAGGAAGTTCAAGTCCAAAAAAAAAATAATAATATTTCTGTAAAATATTTCCAAAAAGATTCTTCTACATATTGATATAAAAATCGATGTGTGAGGTTCTGTCAACAATATTTTTTCTTCTGAGCTTGGCGTAATCGTATTGGCAAGTTTTATTAGTTGCTTTCTATTTTTCCTGGTTGAAATGTAATTTTCTTCGATCTTAGGTAATATGTACTAAAGTAAATATTTTGAATCCAATAATTAACATATATAAATTCATCCACAGCCGATTCATTCACACATAATGATTACATGTGTCTTTAACATATTCCGATTTCCACAAAATTGACCCTACTATTTGGAAGAAGGTAATATATAGAGCAAAAATGGCATAATTGGTCATTAAACTATTTAAAACTCCTTATTTTGGTCATTGAGCTTTTTCTTTAGCTAAAATGGTCATTCAAATATTAAAATTGTTTTTCTTGGTTACTCAAATACTGGAAATATACATTTTTTGTCAACTCAACTAATGAAAGCATACAAATATTTTTGGCTCAGAAATGTAGATCTTAGGTGAAAGACTATTGGTGATAAAGAAAAAGTTCAGTGACTAACAAAAGAAATTTTTAAATAATTCAGTGACCATTTATACCAAATTGCTTTATATTCTGAAAAGGCACTCACATGAATTTTATGACTGTGGATGCAGGCAGTCCATTCAATTGAAAAGTTAAACACAGTTGCATGGCTGGCTCTCTCTAACCAACTAAATCACCTCATGTACTTGGCATATTCTAGTTGAAAGATCTCCAATCCTTGTAAAAAGTTAGATCTCATATTGTTGTAAAGAATTTTGATATCAGCTTACACTTTGATGGAAGAGGAGTTGTTATAACCCTCTGTTTTTTGGTTCATGTCCATTTGATGACAATAGCCCTTCTAGTCTAATTGTGGTTTTACATTTTATTCAGGGTGTAACAATTTTTTAGTTCTGCAATTTTTCAAAGTTGCCTACTTTACTGATGCTTTCACTTCTAAGTTTTGACAGTGATAGGAAAAATTTTGAAGATCTCCTCACTCACTTGATTTCATACTTTGAATTTCAATTCTTGCTTAGATGCAAATGACAGCAATCGTTTCCTAACATTTGTCTTCCTTTTCTTTTATTTGTTTAAGTTTCTTTCTATTCTTCCTTTTTCCCTTTTAAGTGGGGAAAGGGGGAAGTTTAAATTATTAATTTTTATATAAGATTGATTTACACAAAAGATGTATGGGAAAAAATTAGCTATGGAAAGAATAAACCTAGTTTAATGGCAAGGGATGTTAAAATCAACATTCAGAAATGTTGTAACTAAAGTTAGAAATGTTTTTAGTTCTTAGTTCAATGGAAATTTTAAACCCTCAAAGGGAAAGGAATAAGGGAACGTAGCAAAAATGAAAGGAAGAAAGGAAACCGCTTGAGAGTCCTGAATCAGTTTTTTTTTCCTACTAATTTCTACTGCTAGACAGCAGCCAAGAAAACGAAAGCTTTTGCAGTTGGTGCATTTGTAATACGATGTGAATCAGGGTATACTGTTGTACCCATTCATTTCATGTACATCAACCTTTGCAACAAATCAACAAAACAAATCGAGTCAATCGTGAGTGACTGAGCTCGAACTCGGTCAATATTGAATTCGAGTCGAGTTTGAGTTGACTAAGTCGAACTTGACAGTTCAAACTAGAACTCGAACTCGAGCTAAAAAATACTAAAACTCGTTAGTTCGCGAGTCGGTTCGAACTCTATTATATATATATATATATATACTTTTTATTTTAATAATAAAATTACATATATATCCATAATATTTATTATTCATTAAGAAAAATAATTATTTTATTTATTTTTTAAAAATAAAATAATTATTTTTTATTTTTTAAGCTCGAACTCGAATTCGACTCAAATTTGAGTTGAACTCGAGCTCAAGCTTGACATTTTGAGCTCGTAGAGTTCGAACTTGACATTTTGAACTCGTAGAGTTTGAGTTCGAGTTCGAATTTCGTAAAATTATATTGAGATTCGATTCAATTAAGCCGAAACTCGATTCGATTCAGCTCGTTTGCACCCTTAATGGAACCTAAACAAAAATTAGGATCAGGGGCAGTTATAGTTGGCAATCTTATACAATTGTTCAGTTATTCTACGATTTACACTGTATGGTATGGTGTACTTTTACATAACTTTATTGTACTCATAAATTTTATTCGTATACAATATGTTAATGCATAAAATATACCTATTCTTCTAAGCATATAACCACATTGTCCATACAATACACCAACCGCATCTAACCAGACCTAAGCCAATCATACCTGCCTCATTTCCCAAAAATTACAGCCGCACTAGTCCCAAGGCCAAATATCTTGCACCAGGTGGACTTCGACCGGAGCTATTTGTCTTACATTCTATTCCCATTACCAGCATCGGCACACGACTTTGTCAAGAAGCTAAGGCCAAATATCTTGCACCAGGTGGACTTCGACCGGAGCTATTTGTCTTACATTCGATTCCCATCACCAGCATCGGCACACGACTTTGTCAAGAAGCTAGAAGCCAGAGTAATGCATAGCAGCTGGCCAGGAGAAAACATCGACAGGCAAAGCAGCCATGTTCCATCCCATTTTTTTAAGGTTCTTTGTCGATGATCGATCGAGAAGCTCGCACAGAAAGGTCGATCCACCTTCGAGATAATCATTTGTTGCTTCTCAAACTTAAAGAATGATCGCTATCAGTAAAAAATGTCCGGCAAGAAGCATTGGTCCAATCAGACAAAATATTGTTGTCCAATAGGGAAGCATTCTTTGGTTAGGATGATCAGGGCGACAAAGACAATTTCCATGAGAAAATGCAAAAGCAAAGGCATTGAAAGGCGTACTCTATGCTCGACATTTTGCAATTCTTAGTTGGAATGAAACAGAGTCAGGCCACTATATATGGAGGTAGCTGCCCATTGAGAAGTTCATATCATTGGCTGCAGATTGCAGTCAATAGAATGAGGTAAAAAGAGAAATGGTTGATGAATGGGTGGGTGATTCCCTGAAGACGTCTGATCATAAATGCAAGTTAAAAGAGAAGGGTTGATTCTAAATGATCCAAACTATGCTTTTTTATTTGAGTCGATGTCTTTTTAGGTGATCATAGAGGTTCTACCACCAGAAAAGAACCTTGACCAACAATTCCCCACTCTTCAATCCTGCAAAACCTTCCACTCCTTGATCTCAACTTGCACAATGTAGAATACATTGACGGTGCTGGGCACACCGTATTTTTGTGAAGGATTTTGGGAGAGTATTCTTCTGGAGAGCCAGAGAAGAGTAGTTTGCAATTGATTGTGCAAGCCGTTCCAGCTTACCATTTTCCTGCAGGTATCAGGATACGCATGCATTCCTGAATTTCTTTAATGTAAGTAAGATCCAGGATTGCATTTTTTTTGCAATTTCTGTGAACTTCGTGGTTTGCTTTTGGACCAAATATTGCAGTTTGGCACTCCTTTTTTTTTTTTTTTTCCTTTCCTCCGAGCCTGGAAGCCTGGAAAACTGAGCCCAAAACATACTATATTGGTGCTTTTAGTTTGTAATTTTTATGCAATTTCTACCAGGTCACGTTTTGCTTTGCAAAACTGGAAACACATGGATTATATTGGTGTAGAGGTTGAAAATCCACCACTGATCTCTTATCTTGCTCAAGCAAAGGAGGAATGCTCATTTATGCCTCTGACATCGCTAGAACTTCTGAAGCAGCATGGTAACAAAGTGAAGCGTTTGAGGGAGGGTAATCTCAAAGAGCTAAACACTGTTAAACCAACAAATAGTTCTGGCCATCAAGCTTTGTCAACCGCAGGGATCATGAAGTTAGCTAGAGCACAACTGTTTGTGCTCAACTCCCAGAAGGCTGATGTTCTTTCCAGTGTGGCTAGTTGCATTGGAGCTCAATCTGCTCTCGGTTCTGAATTTTCTGAAGACTCGGGACTTGCAATACTACTTCAAGCAGCTGCTGAAAACGTAGTCAATCAACAATATGTTTATTCAAGGAAATTGCTCAACAAGTGTAATCATTTTTCTTCTAAAAGTGGTTATCCTGCTCAAAGAATTGTACACTATTTTGCTGAAGCTTTGCGAGAGAAAATTGATCAAGAATGTGGTATGGTTGCATCATTAGAAGATCTGGAAGGAGAAACAAGGAGGCCTATTGATGAGAAATTGGCTCTGGTTAGTCTGCAACCTGGAATGATGGCATCTCAACAAGAGAACCCTTTCTCCCTCGTTAGCCAATTCACAGCAATTGGATCCATCAGGGCAACTGTGGCAACAGCAAGGAGAGTTCACCTCATTAATTTTGGACTTGATAATGGATCACACTGGACGCTAATTATGCAGGATTTTGCTGCTCAGTATAACTATCCAATTGAGCTTCTCAAGATAACAGCTGTTGGAACCTCTAAACAGATGATGGAAGAGACAGTAAAGTGGCTGTCAGCTTTTGCAGATTCCATTAGTTTACCTTTCACTTTCAACATTGTTGTTTCAGACCTGAAGGACCTCAAGGAAGATATGTTCAAGTTAGAAGCTGATGAAGTTGTGGCTGTTTATTTGGATAGGCGTCTTTGGACTCTGTTAGCATGGCCAAATTACTTGGAAGCATTGATAGCAGTGATTTCAAAGCTGAAGCCACGTGTGATGGTTGTCAAGGAAATGGAGGCAAGCACGAACAATCCAATTTTCTTGGAACGATTTCATGAAGCTCTGATTTTTTTCAGTGGCATGTTTGAGAGCATCAAAGACTGCATGGACAATCACATCTTCTACAGAAAGCTGACTGAGGAAGTTTACTGTCGTAACATGATTAGAAATATTATCACAGCAGAGGGTAAAGAGAGGGTTCATAGACATGAAAGGGTTGCTTTCTGGAGGACCCTTTTTGCAAAATTTGGCTTTGTGGAAACAGCTCTTAGTCAATCATCATTTCGTCGAGCAAGCATGTTTCTTAAACGGTCTGCTCTTTACAGTTCTTTTACAATTTATATGGATGGAAAATGCCTCATCTTGGGGTGGAAAAGAACCCCATTTATCTCAGTATCTGCCTGGAAATTCCAGTATGACTCAGAGTGATCAAAGACTGCTGCAAGATTTGAAAGTCAGGTAATCAGCCTATTTCTTATAAATGTAACTACATTCTATACCATAACGTAGGTTGTTTGCAAAGTGCTTTGTAGGTCACTGCACTCTTTCAAGTGTTTTCTAGGTTTGATATTTCTGCAAACAACCTAAAACCATTGAAAGCAAATGTTCCTGATTGTGGTTTTTCAACCGTGTATGAAATTTTAGTGCTTTTTATTGTCCTTTCGTAATTTGACCACCCCCATAAATTGGACACGCATATTCCACATGGCTGGACTTCATTTATCAAGGAAAAAAAGAAAAAGAAAAAGAGATAGATGCATTTTAAGACATAATTACTAAGGGCCATTGTAGCGTAAAAGGTTGTTGAGGGCACAAAACTAAAAGTAGGCACAGACCATAGATTGGCTAGAAGGGGTTGACTTTCGCCCAAATTTTGTTAAATTAAACTCGGCTTTTGCTTTCACCGAGAAGTTCGACTAGAGTACTCCTGATCCATCGCTTGTGCACTTTAAACTCTGCACAGACCATAGTTTGGCTGGAGTACTCCTGATCCATTTCTCGGATTGGTTGGCTTTCAACAAGTTTCCTGCAGTTTGGTAGGATTAGTATCAATACCTTGATATAAGATTTTAAGACCATTTAGACTCTTTCAAACCCAAATCATCAGAGAGAACCAAAAGTCAGAAAATCCAGATCTATGATGCCAAAGATGTATGGATGCAGTCAAAATGCCAAGCATTAGTGCATATATAGTGCAAAATATAAACGAACATCAGTCAACCCTTATCCGTGAACCTCCTAAGCCAAGATTAAAGCAAAACACAAGCTATAAATGCCCCTGATCGTTGACTGAAAATACTTTCAGATAAATTATCACAGATGCACACTTCCAAACTGATACCCAGTATATTGAAATGAAACATCTTGTTAAACCAGAAGGAAGCTACAAGGCAAAATACATACACGAGCTTCAAAAACGTCCATATTTTTTTACTGCTTTTAACACGTATCAACAACACACCTTTTACTAGAGGTTCAAGAAAAGCAGCACCGATTGCAACCAAAATACTAACCATTACATTGAAAATAGAGTACAATAGGTCCAGCTAAAAGCAAAACATACAGCAGTAACCAAAAGGTAGAGCAAAAACTATAATTCTACTTTGACCACTCAGCTGCCAAAATATCTTCCAAAACCTAAACTTGATAGCTGCCACTCTATGATATCAATATACTGTTCTACCATCACCATCAGTTATCACATCTTTGAATGCTCCATTACTAGGAATCATAGGTAACACATGCTCCTGATGTGGCACTATTACATCCAGCAAGTATGGACCAGGGGTATCAAGCATCTCTTGAATTGCGGCCCTAAGATCTTCCTTCTTTGTTACTCGCGCAGCAGGGATATTACAAGCCTCAGCGAACTTCAGCATGTCAGGGAAAATCTCTGACTCTTTTGAAGGATTTCCCAAATAAGTATGTGCTCTATTAGACTTATAGAACCTGTCCTCCCACTGAACAACCATACCCAGATGCTGGTTATTCAAAAGCATAATCTTAATTGGTAGATTTTCCACTCGAATTGTGGCCAACTCCTGCACATTCATGATGAAGCTTCCATCCCCATCAATGTCCACAACAACCGCATCAGGTCTCGCAACAGCAGCACCAACTGCAGCAGGCAATCCGAAACCCATAGCTCCTAACCCCCCGGATGTCAACCATTGTCGAGGCCTATTATACTTGTAAAACTGAGCAGCCCACATCTGGTGTTGTCCTACACCAGTACTAACAATCGCATTCCCGTTTGTCAACTCATCAAGAAGCTGAATTGCAAATTGTGGAGGAATAGCATCATCAAAAGTCTTGAAACTCAAAGGAAACTTCACCTTCTGCTCCTTCAACTCTTCCCTCCAAGCCGAAAAATCCAGTTTCAATTTATTCCCTCTTGCCTCCAACATTGAATTCAACCCTTCCAAAGCCAATTTCACATCAGCACAAATGGACACATGTGGCTGCTTATTTTTCCCAATCTCTGCAGAATCAATGTCAATGTGAACAATCTTAGCTCGACTAGCAAATGCCTCTAACTTCCCAGTCACACGGTCATCAAACCTCACCCCAAATGCAAGCAACAAATCGCTTCTATCCACAGCATAATTGGCATAAACAGTCCCATGCATCCCCAGCATTTGTAACGAATACTCTTTGTCAGAACAGGGATAAGCTCCCAACCCCATTAGAGTACTCGCCACAGGGATCCCTGTGAGCTCTACAAATCGCCTAAGCTCCTCGCTCGAATTCAGACACCCTCCTCCGACATACAACACCGGCTTTTTCGACTCACCGATCAACCTCAAGACCTGCTCTAAGTACAGCTCATTAGGCGGCCGAGGCAACCTGGATACATATCCAGCCAACCTCATTGGTTGGTCCCAATCAGGAACAACCATCTGTTGCTGTATATCCTTAGGAACATCAATCAAAACCGGGCCAGGCCGGCCAGTTCTAGCGAGGTAGAAAGCCTCACGAACAATTCGAGGAATGTCTTCAACATTCAAAACCAGATAATTATGCTTAGTAATGGACCGAGTTACCTCGACAATAGGAGTTTCCTGGAAAGCATCCGTGCCGATCATTCGCCGGGGAACTTGGCCGGTGATGGCCACAATCGGAACGCTGTCAAGGAGCGCATCAGCCAAGCCACTGACAAGATTCGTCGCACCAGGGCCAGAAGTCGCAATACAAACACCTGGCACACCAGAAGCCCTGGCGTACCCTTCCGCCGCGAAGACACCGCCCTGTTCGTGGCGGGGGAGGACGTTACGGATGATTTTCGAGCGGGTGAGAGCTTGGTGGATCTCCATGGAGGCGCCACCTGGGTACGCAAAGACATCGGTCACGCCTTCTCTTTCTAGGGCTTCGACGAGGACATCGCAGCCTTTTCGTGGCTCATCAGGGCCAAATCTGGAAACAAACGGGCTGCCAGTGGTGTTGGTGGAGGTGGTGGAAGAGGAGGAGGATGAGGAGGGTTTAGGCGTCTCGGTGGAGGTGGAGAGGACGTTGGTGACAATCGGAGTGTAATGGCCTCCGCGGCGGCGGTGGTGGAGAGTGGGATTTTTGGGGATTTGGGAGAATGGGAGGGTAAATTTGGGAAGGAAACTGTTGTTCAGGGGGTTGGCGGAAGAGTGAGAGAGGTGTTTAGAGATGGTGGAGGTGGTAGAAGTGGAGCTCGGAGCGGTGAAGTTGGCGGCGGCGGCGGCCATCTCTGACCCTACTGGCGGCGGAGTGATGTGGCTTTCGGTTCTGCAGGGCAAAGGTATTCTTCTCGTGGTGAAGAATGGAGGGATGATTTGATGATAGGACAAATATAAAAGGACGAACGGTACTATACCAGTGGTCCAGACTCGAGTTTGACTGAAAAAAAAAAGGAAAAGGAAAAATCGTAAAGCGGAGATTAGAATGGATTAATTACGCTAATCTGGAGTAAAGCTGCCTAATCTGTCCAAGATATTTATTTGTTTTCTTTAACTAGTTTGAAAGTAAGATTGAGGTTAGCTTGATTCCTACCGGATTTGAGTAGCTTTAATGCTATTATAAAATGTAAAATGTAAATGTAGTATAATAAATTTTTTTAACTAAAAAAGAGGATAACGAAACACGCAATTAAACTATGTGAATTGAGTTTTGATACGCTCAAACTTATTTAATATCAAATATTACTATTTTAAGTTCAAATTTAGTTTAGTTCACATTTTTTGTAACTCACGCCTGACTTGCAACAAAAAATAGTTAGCGGCTCACAAAATCAAATCGATCCATTTCTTTTCATGCAATTTAAGGCACAGCACATGAGAATCTTAATATCCAATTTATAAATTTAAATTTTATTTTAATTTATTGAACTCAGTTTGAGTACACAAAATTTAATGAATACTAAATGCTATTCATGTCTTTTTTTGTTTTTTTGCCATTCGGTAACCTTTATATTAGTACCACTCCTCCTCCTACATTGACCTATCTAATGAATGACCTAATCAAGTTGAAAAATAAATGAGAACTGAATCACTATTGGATTCGATGTATTATACGCTCGTTTGAATTTGAAGAAGTCACGTATAAGTGGCAAGTGACAAGAGACAAAGATCAAACCCTTGACCTTTCTTCCCATCAAGATACTTAAAAATGATTTTTGTGGTGGCCAATAATCCCAAAAACACACTTAAATGTCAGGCTTGTTTAATTAACAAATCAAATTTGAGCATACTCTTATTTATTTATCATTAATCAACACCCCTAGACGCATTTGCGCCTAGGAGATTGATTTGGCATGGTCGATAGTTGGGATATAAACGAGTCGAGTCGAGTCAAATTTTGGTCTAATTGAGTTGAGCCTCCAGTTAATTTTATGAAACTTGAACTCGAGTTCGAATTTGACGAGTTCAAAATGTCAAGTTCAATCTCGAATTTAAAAAAAAATAAATAAAATAATAATTTTTTAACAAATAATAAAATATTAAAAAATATATATATAATTTTACTATTAAAATAAAAATAAAAATATATATAATAAAAAAAATATATATATATATAATCGAATTCACCGACCAACAAATTTAATATTTTTAAATTCAAACTTAGTATCGAGCTCGATTTGTGAACAGCTTAGCCAACAGGAATTGCAATCAAGCAGCAGTGTAGCACACTTCGTAGCGGAAAACCACGTGGGCAACAATATACTTGTGGGGAATTTCAATGCCTTTCAATTGTGAGGAATTCCATTTGAAATTCCCCACCGTCATTTTTTTTCTACCGCCTTTGTGGCTGATTCCTTGTCTTAATCATTGTTTATAAAACATGGGGAAGGGAAAATGCACCTTGCCTCTCAATTTTCAGGGCCCTTTGCACTTAAATTATGAATTATGCCAATCATCTTATATGATATTTTCTTCATTTATAAAATTTTTTAAATCCTTCTAACGTGCAGAATTTGAACATTAAACCTCCAAAAGCCCTCCCTGATGCAAAAGATAAAACTTAAAGTACAAAAGAGGGAGGATTTTTTTCAGCTACTTTCGATTCATATTCTTGTTTCAATGGCTAATAAATATAATACAAGTATTAGTCATCTACATTCATTTATTCTTAAGATAAGCAAAGTATTGGTTATCTACATATATTCTATCTCAGAATATCTTTGCCATTTTGCAATTAATGCTAAGGTGCAAAAAATGTTTAATTAATTCTACAACATCTCCCATTTAATTAAATGAACAGTCATTGAAATATCTTGTTGCTATACAAACAAATTTTGTGCAAGTTCCTAACTTTTTATTTAGTGGAAATCATACTAGGAAAAATTTTTAAAATTTTTGCAGTTACAACACACACACACACATATATATATTGTCAACTATTATGATTTTTACTGGTTACTAGGAGTTAGAGCTTTGCTCTGTGTGCTGTGCAATCTTTGTTTTGTTTACTATTATTCCCATTTTTTTTTAATCTAAGTTTAACTACAAAAACTTGGATTAAACGAGAAATACATTTGTGAGCTGATGTTGTGTGAGAAACAAAGAACTGAGACCTCAAATTGTTACTTAACCACAGAGAAAACAGAGAAGATAGAGTTTCTGAAACAAAATCCGAAAGTTGAAAAAAGAAAACAAAATTTGAACTAAATGTTTCTCCTTATCAGTCCAGACTCAGGAACCAGTTTCTATGCAGCATTCCATAGAAGGCAATTTGTGACAATTACTATGTCAAATACAGTAGTAGCATATAAAATACAACAGGTGTACTCGTCACTTTACAGGATGTAGCAAGTAAGATGATTCAACTATCAAAAAGGCAAAAAACAGTGAAGAAAAAGAATTAGGAGGCTGTTAATTTTAGATTAATGTATGGTTTCCCTGTTGTGGTGTTGCATTCTGTGGATAGCCGAAGGGATCTCCGAAAGGATTAGCAGACGCCATATATGGCACTTGCTGTTGTTGTGAATATTGAGCTGGATATTGGTGAGGAACCATCATCATGTTTTGTTGTTGCATCTGCTGCTGCTGCATCATCATTTGCTCTTGTTGGGACATCAGCGCCATCTGCACGTTGGTTGGAGGTGCTATGGCATTTGACATTGCAAAGGGGTCATGTTGATCAAGTGGACTTTGTGCTGTCATTTGATATCCATAGCCTGCATTGTAACCGGCATTCTGCAGCTGTAGTTGTCTCCTGGCAGCTTCATCTTCGTACAAGCTATCAAGTAGTAGACTGTCAAATCCCCCTGCCTGGTAGGAGGAACAAAAATCAAGGTGTGAAAACAGGTAAAGGGATTGCAATGCTTCATGTCTAGCCAAACTGTAGCTTCTGTGCAAGTTGTCAATCTGATTTACATGACTATGATGTACCATGAACTAAAGCAATGAGAAGAACAGAAAAGAGCTTCTGAGGTACAGAAAAAGAGACTTGATCTCTGTATTGTAATCAAGACAGCACTTTAAGGGCTAGAATGAAGAATTCACAGTCCCATTCTCGTAAGAATCAGCAGATAATGGAAAAGAAGGTTTTTATGCAGGCTTTATCATCATAGCAGCATATAAAATTTTCAGGTCTACTCATGCTAGGTCCGTCCATATTCTTGAGATAAAACAATGTTTATATAGAAAATTCAGCAGCACAAGAATAATTGCTCATTAGCAGCAGAAGAATAATTACTTATTACAGAAGTTAAGACAATCTAATATCTGGCTATATAATAACTTGACAAATATTTTGATTTTAATAAGCCATTGCATAACATGAACAAACATTTAGATTGGAGGACAGAAAACATACCATTTTCCTTTCAGGTGGTTTGCTAGTATGGTTGCTTGGAGCAGTAACCAGTGCCAGTTCCCAGCCTGAAGTTTGGCCTATTTCAGTCAGGGCATAATTACTTGATGAAGGATCATTACCTGTGAATTTTTCAAACTCATCATTCAATTGAATTGAAATCCAGAGCAACCAATGTTCAATAAACTAGTCAAAAGAGCACTTCATTATCAATAAATATACCCCTACCAGTACGATTGGATTATTGGCTTCAGGTACTAATCACTGTGCCAATTAAGACAAGAAAAGGAAGTGGCAAGGGTAACTTGAATTAAAGAGATCTTTTGATAAATCAAAGGGCAAATTACACTTTATTCGCCTGTGGTTTAGTATTTTTCTACATAGCTCTCCTATAGTTTCAAAAACTATACATAACCCCCTTATAATTTGGATTAAAATGTCAAAGCGATCGAAATGGTCATTCGTAATGGAACTTTTAAAAATATTGAAATTACTCTTATAAATACACGACACACTAACCATGTATAGTATTTTACCAAATAACCCCCTTTTGGTTTAATGCTTTACCATATATTCCCCTTATGATTTTCAAAATATACACATAACCCTCCCTCTTGGTTAATAAATAATTTTCAATTTTACATAAGGGTATTTTTGACATTTTAGGTGAATTCGTTGCGAATGATTATTTCCGTTATTTTGACACTTTAATCCAAACCACGAAGGAGTTATGTAATCATAGGGGGGTTATGTAAGAAAACACTAAACTACCGGGGGATAAAGTGTAATTTGCCCTAAATCAAATGTTCGTAGTTCTCACAATGACCAGTTGCAGTGCTCGTCTTCTTTAGAGAATTAGAGCAGGTGCTTAAACATAATATTCATGTGTTTAGTTCCTGTCAATTTCTCTTTCATCTTAGAATAACAATCGGCAGACCTCGTCAATGAACTCTACGGATAAATTATTGATATATGATATGATAATAAGAACAAGTTTATCTTACCAGGTTGAATAATGGCAAGAGCTAGTGCATTACTTTCCTCTAATTCTGCTGCCTTTGGATTTACTTCATCATTCAGACCCTGTATTAAAAAACATGCATAAATGCATGATAATTCTCTAACAAAGCCCAGCACAAAGCGCATTTCAAAGGATAGTAAAGCTTACAAGCAGATCTGCAGGTTCTTCGGCTGATATCAATGGTGGGTCTTCCTCTTCTTTTTTCAACTGAGGTTCTTCATCAACCTGTTCCTTTTCATCTTCAACCTTTTCTTCAGGTTCTTCAGGTATAGGCTCTGCAGGTTTTTCTGGTTCTTCATTTGTCTCCTGATACTCCTATTAGCAAAAATGACAAATTTTTTAGTCCACGAAAATTATCAATAATCTTGTGCATTTGATTTATAAAGAAAAGGGTACACTCCTGAATTATGACTTCCGAATCATCCAGTGAGACAAAAACAATGCTGTTTGTCTCCTTTCAATGCATAACAACGTTGATCTATACTGCCCTTAT